CGCGCCGGCCGGCTGCGGCGGGGGGGCAGGGGACGCTCGAGTTATCGATCCGGTGGCTGTGCTGGAATGTGGCGAGGGGAGTCACGTGGCGGCCGCCGCCTCCTCAGCCTCCTCCTCCACCTTCCCCAGCCTCCTCCGGGGGAAGCCAGGGGCGGGCGGCCGCCGAGGGCCGGGAGGGCCGGCGCTCCCAGGCCGCGAGCGGGGAGGGCGAGTGGCGGAGCGCGAGGACTGGACGAGGTGTGCGCCGGCCGGGCATGGAGTTGGGGCGAGGGCTCGGGCGACAGCTGGTGGCGGCGGAGGCCCCCGCGGCCCCGGAGGCGGAGGACAAAGGGCGGCTGCGCGCCCGCCGGGCCCAAAGGGTCCCGCGGAGGTCCGCGCGGCCGGCGGCCCCGCCCTCTGGTCCCCGTCGGCGCAGCATCCTCTCCTGCGGGGCGGCTCGGCCCCGGCGCCCCGGCACTGCGGCCCACCCTCCCGTCTCGGCCGCCGGCCCGGGGCGGGGTAGGCAGAGCCGGGCGCCGCGCGCCCCCGGCCCCCGGCCGCGGTGTGTCGGGGAAATGGAGGCTCGGAGCCTCACCGCACACACAAAGCCCTTTCTTCTCCTGGGAAGGGACCGGGTGGGGGAGGGCCTCGCAGATCCGAACGCTTTCTTTTCTCCTGGAGCAACGAAGTTTTACTTTGAAAATGAGATGAATCTTTGACATGTGTCTTGACACAGTTTCCGTGGCGATTTACATTCACGTGTGCCACCCGTTTTCCGGGAAAACCCAGACCAGGCGCTTGGAAGACGCAAGCGTCGATAGTGAAAAAATGAACGGCGCGGGCGCGCGCGGGTGTCAGGGATCCGTGGCCCACGCTCGCGTCTGGGGATCCTGCCCCGAGACTGCGTCCTTAAAGTCACGCTGAGCCAAGTTTCAGGACGAACCTCTTCTAGTCACTCGGAAAGAACTTTTCGATTTTGATAGGATAGCGCTTGGTGTCAGCCCCTGTTGAAGGGATGCAAAAGCTGGCTCCTGAAACCTCAGCAATTTAGGAGGCTTTCTATTTTTAAAAGTTTATTGAAGTTTGCACAATTGGTGGTTTTGCTCATCCGCAGCTTCTGAGCATTCACTTCACCTGCCTTTGGTGAATTCGCAGGGAAAGTTCTGTTGGTTGTGGGCTGTGCCCCTGTGCTTCCTAGAGAGGATTGATTCTCGTGCACCCCAGATTTTATGGTTAGTAAGTGAAGCCGTCAGTTAGCCGTATTCGAAGGGCAATCTTGGATAAGCTGAATTGCAAAATGACGTGGGACCGAGACCTGTACAGTTCTTAATAGGCAAAAAATGGCAAGTGAAAATTAGTAAAGAGGGCGTTTTATTCTTTTGTTACATTGTCATATTGCAAAAAAAATTCAAGTATCTTCTCTATGAAGACAAACATCTGTGGTTCCACTGCCAAGCCCTAAATAAAATATTTACATTAAAAACAAAGATTAAGCTTCCATTTTCTGTGTGGACACGGAGCACAGTGGTGTTCTCCTCTGTCAGCTGCCTGGACGACTCCCAGAAGAGCGGATGGCCTCAGGTGGGCTGGCTGAGCTTTGGGGGTGAGAAGCTGAAGACAGTAATAAAAATAATACAGTCCCCACTAAAGAGCCGGTTTGTTTTTCAGGGCATACATTTACGTGGAAAAATACATATTTAGATGAACTATGGCAGATGAGTAATTGTGAGATTACTCGCAGTTTGGAGAAGTAGAATGGCATTTTAGGTGTCTCTTGTTAAGTAGCCTTTTCTTTACTATTTTTCTTTCCCTGTCTACCTCGATGCGTCTCCATTTTCAGAATGTGTTCTAGGAGACGTCTGAGTGTGTGAATTCTGTCCATTATATAGTTTGGAAGGTCACACTTGAATCAGAAAAACCAGAGAGGTGTCACTACAGATATTCTGGGAAAATAATACTTAGCAATGAGCAACACTTTGCTATCAGCAGGCATAGAAAGGCAGCACCAGTTTAACTTTCTTCTTTTATGAGGAACTGATTAGTCGTTTTGCAACTAAGAGATAAAAATTCTGGTTTTATTAGATGAGTGACAGTGTTTTGAAACCTTCCAGATGACTTTATATCAACTTGAAGGAGGCCTTGGAAATGCAGTGCCCCTCTAAAGAAAACATGGGAGTTCTACATTGAATTTCCACTTGTCTCCTAAATCCATACTATTTCTTTAACCAGCAAGGTTTAAAAGATATTTCTGATATGGTTGTCATTTTGATACCATAATTTGAAACTTGTATCTCAGGGGAATAGTTCATATAAGGCAGGTAAAAACATTAAAACAAAATGACAGTTAAGTTTGGAGTTTTGTTTTCAACCAAATACTTAAAAATAAGCACTGTCAGGAAAGCCTATTAATACTTGAATTTATTTTGTGTATTTTCATCAACTTAATATTTTGAATGAATAATTATATTGACTTAAGAATTAAGCAGGGTTTTTTGTTTGTAGCAAACTTTAGTACAATTATCCTAATAAGCTACCCCCTGAGAGTGGGTGCCAGGTTTCTGCCTGCAAGGGAGTATGCCCTGTGTGGTCCCCTTACCTCCTCTTAAAGTGCAGTAAAAACTGTTAAACACCAAGAAGATACATTTTTCTGTTTGTGAAACCTGCAAAGTGTGTTTTGAAAACGCTGGCCTCAAAATTCTCTGAGCCCACATACAAAGTCAAGAAACTTATTCTGTCCTTATGCTATGAGTCTTCAGAATAATCCTTTTTTCTTAGTCAAACAGTTACAGCCAGTAGTTAAGAGATATGGATGGTCAGACAATTAAATGAGTCTCCCTTTCTACCCCATTTGAATTATTTGGATATTTATCTCAATTCCTGAGAGTAGACATGGTATTTGAGTAGATGACTTACCTGAAAATAGTTTTGTTGTCAGCTTGTTTTGAGAGGCAGTTGTATCAAATTGGTCAATTGTGACCTATTTCTATTTTTCTTGCTGGCTCTTTACTCTATTTCTTGTGATGCTTCTCTGATGGAAGTTTCATGGCCATTTTACCAGATAAAAACAATTTTCCTTGAAATTTACTCCAAAAAGCACTGTAAGAAGGAAAAAATGGTCCACTACACAAAGGTGTGACATATTCAGTGAGCGCCAAACTATAAAGCTGGGAAGGAGAGAGGAGAGCACTTAGATATTTAAATGGCCAAGTTAAATACAAGACACAATTAGGATTTCTGGACCCTCAGGTGTTCATAAACCCATACCAGTGGTTTCTAGAGGGAAATGGTTGGAACCAGGGAGAAAGCCCCC